TGAGCCTGTCGCCTTCGGGAATTGGTGACCGCATTGCAGCCTGATGCATCTCCATGCTGAATGGACAGACCACATTCTCGTCTACAATGGTTCTGTATACATATTCTCTGTCTGTTTAACTTTAAAGGACTGCATCAAGTTATGTCATTGTGTGAGTGTCAGCTGTCAAAGTGAACATGTGCTTTTTTTTTAATGCAGGGCAAAGCAACAGGTTCACTTAACTTCTACCAGTTGTACATTTTGCTCACTCCCCAATTTGGCTGCCAGGAGCAAAGAGAGAAGGCCGTCTATAAATGATTTTGAGCTTACACAGGGCTGAGGACTCTTTCTGCCCCCATGTGACAGTGCTCCCCCAAATCAAGAAGTGCTGTCATCCGTTAGGAAGAGGAGTGAGTCACGTGAGCCCCATACCTGGGTGTACCAGGTATTTCTCTGCTCCCAGCAGCCAAACAGCTGTGGGGGAGCAAAGGTTAGGTGAGTTTGTACAGCTGCTGGAAAAGGGGGCAGTTAAGTGAACCTGTTGCTTTGCTCTGCATAGGTTGACTAACATTATACATGTTGCAGTATAGAGTACGATACCTCAGAAAAAGAAACCTGCAGCTTAAGCCATTGTTGGATAGCAAATAGTAAGTACCCTCCTCTGTGAAGGAATTTGTATTGCTGGATTAAATGGGGGGAAAAAAGAAACTAAGTTATTTGATCATTTTCCTAGTTTTAGCTTCTATGTGGCTCAGAGTTAAATGACAGGCAGGAGGCAGCTAAAGCTATAGCCAACTAGAAAAAGTCATCCCTAAGTCAAAGTATGTATTAGAGTTAGGGATGCACCAACACTGGTTTGTCAGCACTGATAGTTTTTTTTTCTGTACTTGCCGATGCTGAATACCAGTATATCCCAAGGTAGTGTGGGGCCAATTAATCGGGAAGCGGGGTCATGACATGAGATAAAGGTTGACACACCATCAATGGTGTTGGGAAGGCAGCGGTACTAAGAGGCAGGGGCACATGGGACACGCACAGGATGAGACCCATGTTCAGGAGATGAAATGTTGCAGGTTGCAACGTTCACAGGGTGAACTACTGTCACAAGGTGGTAGCGGATTTCAATGATCCTACGATGATTTGTAATATCAACACTATGGAGTGGCCTCACTACGGTGGAATGTACCCCATGCTGGATGTATCCCTCTCTCTCTGCATTTCTGTATTGTTGTCATCCTTTTGTTAAAACAAAAACTTTAATGGAAAAAAAAAAAGCCAAGCTGCCTCGCAGTGTTGCTAAGCAGCATGAAGCCATCTTCCTAGCCAATAAGGGAGGCAGGTCAGGACCCACTTCCTGATTGGCTGGGAAGCTAGCTCCAGGCTCCCTCGCGGCACTGCTGGTCAGAGGAACTCTCTCTCTGACTGGAAGTTCCAGTATTGGAGTAAGTATCAGAGCATTTGGGTGAGTACGAGTTCTTATCCAAATGCTCAGTATCGGTGCATCCCTAAGTAAAGTACATCTAAACCCTCATTGAGTGATCTTCAGTTTACTAAAGCAGTGTGACAACACAATTGTCATTTTTTTCACCTTTTTTTGATAAGGTGACAACACAGGAGCACCAGGTATTATTTTAATGATCGCTGCAGATTTAAAGAGCTTGAAAAGATGTTTTGTAATTAGGTTTAAAGATTTTAGTAATTGGGTTTAGATCTACTTTAAGAACATTTAAAAGTGTTTTTAAATACAGCTGGGGCAAATGCTTAAATAGCAGTATCCTGTAACGACCTGGACAGGAGTACTGAGGGAGTGAGGACTGGCAGTGCAGGCTGTTCTGTCTAACAAGACAAGAATTGTGTGGACATGTTGGAAGAAGAGATATTGATCAATGTAAATGGTGATAGCTGCCCTCTAGTTACAGCAGTGCAGGGGGTAAGCCATTTGCAGCAACATGCTCTCCTGCAGGCTCCTTTTAGGATGTAAGTGGGTCCAGGTCTTCAATACTGAACTCTGGAAGCTGTACCCAATAAAAGGCAGACAGAGGGCAAATGACTTGCCACTAGATGGCCTGTGGGTGCCCAGCAGCTGATCTTTTCCTGTGGCTCTGTGAATGCTTGAAGCAGAGACATTATTACACTGCAGTTTTCCCTGCAGCAAGGAGAATGGTGAGCAGCACAGTAGTGACAATTTAAAATCCTGTGAGACTAGAAGTTAGAGACAACAAAGCCTATTTCACAGCAGATATATACGGCTCTGTGTCAGAGCAATATTGAGGTCTTACCCAAGTGCAGGTTCAGGGGATTCTGGATATAGTAAAATATACATGCAATCATTTTGCTGTTTCTACCCTCCGGAAACAGTATTGGCCTTCCACTGTTTTTCTAGTGGAACGTACCTCGCAGGTAAGCCATTTACTAACATGAATTAGCAGTGAACCTGTCTAACTTGGATACGTTGGAATTACAAAGAGAAGGATTGGCAACACTGCTTCACAAATATGAAGTTGTGAATTGAGTGGGGGTGTGGGCTATACCCTCGGGTGGTCTTTACTGCTCTATATGCTTCCTCTTCTTCAGTTCTTCTATGACAGTCAGGATTTTGAGCATCCTTAAAAGGAGAACTATGAGATGAGTGATTTCCACTCACCTCATAGGTCTAGCCGACCTGTGACAATGAGACTGTCACAGGTCGGCTCAGTAGATCGGGAGGTGAGCGAACACATACCGGCGTTCGCTCACCTCTCGATCCTGTCAGGGCTCTCTGCCGTGACAGGGGAGGGGCTGGATTCCCCGCTCAGATCCGCCAGCGCTGACTGGCGGAACGGACGGGGCGGGTACAGCTGGCTCTGCCTCTAGATAGGCAGAGCCAGCTGTCACTCACGCAGCTGGGCGGATCTCGACATCGATGTCGGGATCCGCTCCGGCGTCTCAGTATAGATCACGGTATACTGAGCTTAGGGTAACGGGAGGACGCTAGTTTGTGTCCTCCCGTTACCCTAAGGAGAACTATGGGGAAAAACACTGACCCCATAGTTCTCCTTTAAAGTAGTATTAAACTCTCAAGCTTTTTTCAATAATGAGTCCAGATCAAATATACATTGCTCAGCAAAGCAAAACACTTACAATTATCATGTTTCTGAACAGCTGCTTCCTAGTCTCTTAGAGTGGCTTCCCTGAACTTCCTGTCCAGTACAAGATCACAAGGGAGAGAGCAGACTACAGGAACTGTCCATCCACTAGCCTATTGGAGGGGGGCCATGGGAAAGGGAATTCGTTTGATTTGCTGTGTATGTGGAGACGCACCAACATGGGTGGTTCCATAGGACCCTTCAAAGGCAAGGAGCCACCCTATAACAGGATATCAGGGCCCAGTGGACCAGCTGATTCTGCAGGAAACATCAAGAAGCAGCATCCATTGTAAGTGACTCAATCAGCATTTAATAACCCTTTTGACTTTAATATCACACTGACTTAATACTTCTTTAATGGAATATTTGCTACAATGTTTCACTATCGCTGCAAACATTATTTCCAAGTTTAAATGAATTAGGATTGGCTACATAAACAATGAACTCCTTGAGTTCATTAGGGAAAGCAGAAGTGTTCTGTGTGGCTATCACACCAGTTTCAGTATAGATGGACTTTATAGGGAGCCCTCAAGGCCAGAATGACTCCCACTTGTAGCCATACTCGCCGTAAACATATGATAGTGTGATTTTATCTGTTTTTAATAAAGTTTTCTTTTACTGAACAGTAATTGTCTTAAGTATAGAATAGATAGCAAACGATTTGTGAAGCCCCTTCGTAAGATCAGAATCCTGATGTTTAGTGTATAAGCAGTCATTTTGGGTCTTCAATGGTCTCTAGTGAACATATAGGTTGTGTCCTCATGAGTATGAATTGTTGGTGACGTCACTGGTGAGCAGATCGGATGTACAGTGAATGAATAGGCAGTGTTCACATGGATGTGGAGTGTCTCCCTGATGTCACTGGTACCTAGTGATTGGACAGCCTGCTTTCTGATAAATATGAAGTGTCTCCCTGGTACCTAGTGATTGAATAGTCTGTTTTCCTATGCACATGAAGCGTCAGTGATGTCAATGGTCTCTAGTGAATGGATAGTCTGTGTTCACACGAACAGGAAGTGTCTCAGTGATGTCACTGACCTAAGGTACGTTCTCATGAATTTCTGCGATTTCACTGGTAGTTAGGGAATGGAGAATCTGCATTCTTATGAATATGAAGTTCAGTGTTGTCACTGGTCTACAGTGACTGGCTAGGTTGTATTCTTACACTTGGGAAGTGTAGCTGTGTTTTAGCTGACCTCTAGCAATTGGAAAATCTGCATTCTCATGAATATGAAGAGTCAATAATGTCCCAGGTCTCTTGTGAATGGATAGGCATATCTGTGATATTGGTAAATCTTAACTGAATTATTTAAAAAGGCACCCAACACAGGAGATGAGGAATGATTTTATTTCCCGGCCAGTTAGAAGATAAATAAATATTTACATATATTACATTACAGTATAACACAGGAAGGCCAAAGAAAGATGCATGCTGGGAGCTCACACGATTAGCATCTAGAGCAGTGGTTCTCAACCTGTGTAACTTTAGGACCCACATATGTCCTTGGTCATTAAGTCGTGACCCAAGTCGCACGGCACTGCAGTACCGTGCGTTCCAGTACGGGCGTACAAACTGTGGGTGGGAGGTGCGTTTGTGGTACCATTTAAATGAATGGCAACGCAACACATCTCCCACACAAGAATGCATGGTAGGTGATTGCTTGGTACATGTGTTAATTGCACGGTACTAGTGTGAACGGGCCCTCAAATACTGACATACATACACAACTACAGATGCAATCTGGCGCAAGAACTGACAGTGTTGCGCTAGGGGGAGGCAGAGGAGCCTCTCATCTAGAAAAGTGGAAGGCATGCGGCGACCCAATGAACACGGGGTCCCGACCCACCAGTTGAGAACCAAGAATCTAGAGCATCCTCTGCAAGCTAGTTAATATTGCAACATTTACTGTTTCGGTGAGATCACTTTAAGCCACTTTAAGTAAAATGGTCCCTTTTCACATGCTTTCATTGTTAAAAATAAAACAGTGTTTAACATCACAGGCTTCTGTGTTATCAAGTTACAGGACAATGATAACACCCAAGAACTGGCACTCCTGCCAGCTACATGCAGTGCAGGCATCCTCTCTCTAAGGTGGATCAATATTCAGCAGTTTGCTAGGAACTAATAACGGTGCTGAACTAAAACACAAGTTCCAAGCAAAGTGATAGACTGCACACTGATTCACCTCACAATATGGCAATGACATCACATGCCCCTAATTAAAGTGATTGGTTGATTCTAAACCCTCAGCCACTGTAATGGATTCCTACACTGTAGGCACACTTTGAAGAATCCTGACACCAGCAGTCAGCCATGACAGGTAAGTAAAACACTTATGTCCATCTGCTCACCAGGCTCCATCCTTCTCTAGTCAGGAGATTGCACAGACTGCACTACTTTTCTGGTTCTTTATCACCTGCCGTTTTTGCAGCTCTCGTGAAATTCGCCTCTTGATTCCCAGGAGATACAACTCACGATCAAAGAGCCCTGCGGCCAACGGGATACTGGAAAAAGGGAGATTCCAAAGTATCATTTCAGTTTACCTGGACCATAACTATAATACAGATGCATTTTATGTGCTAACATATTTCCCTTTAAGATATGCTTAAAGTATAATTAAACTCTCAAGGTTTATTTTTATTTTTTTATATATATATCTACTGCTAGCAAAACGTACTTATCTCTCCCGGGTCTTATCCGCACTTCAAATAACCCAAAGACAGGCCGGTGGTCTGATGTTTTCACCAGGGGGCAGGAGGCGTACTTCAGGACCCGGATATCTCCTTTTTGGCGACTCTTGTAGACGATCCTGTCCTACGATGGAACACATATAAAATATTCATATTAGCACCAATGCCTCCTCAAATACTCTCTCACACAAAACAAAAGCATGGCGGGGCTGAGCCCCTATGAATCAATAGGTATGATGATGCAATAGTGGGGTTGGGTACAGAAACAGTGCAACTCCCAATAATCTTAAGGCTTGAGATGTTCTTACTGTATATGACGGAGTTCTCTGCTTCGACGTTGTGTCATATTCATCACAGCCAATATCAAACTTGTACGTAGGAAGAAATTCAATTGCTGCTTCTTGAAACCCTTTAAATATGGAGCCTGAATATTACAAAATAAACGTTTATCATGCTATGAATGGCACGCGACATAAAACAGTAACAGTTGGTGGGGGTGCTCTCCGCACACCTTTCAGCAGTCCCGGCCAATAAACAAAGATGGTGCTTGTAGTAACTACCACGGATGGCACCGTGCAAAACACAAAGTAGAAAAAGATAGGTCACCAGCACTCAAAATGATTCAAATGAATAAGTCCTTTTTATTGGACAATTGTGTCACAACAATCAAAAAGAGCCGACGTTTCGGGGCCACGCAGGGTCCCTTCTTCAAGGCAAAAGATGTGACCATAAAACAGTAACAGACTACTGTAGTTTCATTTCAGTCATCTGACATTTATTTGTTCCTCCACTACCAACTGCCTACAAAAGGAAGTGCAGCTCACGGAATAGATAATCTGATCTCTTCAATGGCCACAGTGAGGTTTATTAAAGAGAAAATCAAGGAGGGGACCTATTGGTTGACTACTAATGCTTCTTTAAGTGCCCTAGAGGCAGGTGATGTATGAAGAGGCTTAAGGTTCTTACACACGCTCTGTTCCCATATCTTACCTCCGTTCATGACTTTGAGGAGCTGGTCGTATTGAAGAAGTTGGGACATATCCTTCACCAGATTGTGCTGTAGAATGGAGTTCACCCCATTCCGATCCTTGTTCAAACGGAAGTTGAAGTCGCCAAACCAGAAGACTTCATCGAATCGTGTAGTAGCATCCACTGGTGGGTCAAGCACAGAGGACACATATATAGGACAAGACAGATGTATGGCTTTTACTGGACCATTATTAACACTAACTGCATGCTTTTGTTTATTACCATGATACAAGATCAGTGGTCAGAAAAACAACCCATGCAAGGAGTGGGTCTGCCTTGCCATGGGGTACTGCATAATTGGAGGTTTGGAAACTCACAATGTCTACTACAAGAGAACAAGTCTTTTAGGAGATGTAAGAGGGCTAGTATCGCTAAGCACACTGCATTAGGGCCTGTTTGGACAGGGTTTGATTTTGATGGCATTAGTTTGAGACTTTTTTGAGATCGTACAGACATTAATAACAGACAGGAGCATTTGACAAGCTTCATGCTGATTTTGCATTCCCATAGACTTGTATGGAGAAGCAAAAACCCATCTGATGTGAACAAAATCCTGTTGACACAGGCCCTTACCCTCTTGGCTGTATAGGGTTACACAAGACAAACACTACACGGTCTACTTGTCCTTTCCTGTGAAAAACTAGTAAAACATTAGCACTGGAGTAAGAACGGCAGTGCACCACAGTATATAACAAGAGGATGAACCCCCAACAAAAAAAACACATACACAAGATTCCTGGTGTTCTCCCCTCCTTACAAGGAGAAGTATTGGGAGTGTAAAATGTACTCTTCCGAATAAAAAGAGCCAGCGCATGACACTGCAGGTGTCGCATGCCGTCTCCATAGATCAAGAGCTGATCGATCACGAACCCCTCTACATCAATCACCAGCGCTGGCTTCCACATATTTTGCACAAGATGTGCAACTAAAATCTCTGTTTTTAACGCATACTGTTAGACAGTGTAATTGTTTGTTACTGGCTAGTTGATAAGTGTGGTGGGAAACTTCTGTGTTTTGCAAGGCAGCGGGGTGGATCCCGACAATTCTGTTGGGATCTTTCCCGGCTGCAGTGCAGTACTGTGCTGTCAGCAAATAGAGGGCTGTAGCCCGTTAGATGCTGACTTTGTGTCACAGGAGCACATTAGTAAATATAGCTGGCTGTGCCATAAGTAAATGTGCTCCTTTGACCCAAAAGAGGATTAAAGCCAAAAGAAAAAGGTTTGGTTAACCTCTCCCTCTGCTCAAAACAGTTTGGATGACAGGAAATTGCCACAAAGTGTGAATGGCTCACACTGCTGGCACCCTCACTCTAAGCCTGACCACTGGTACAAAGGTGTTATGGTGGTTATCCTGTAGCCAGACCATTCATTTACAAAAATCTTCCCATAAGATTATATGTGCAAATGTTATGCATGTTATTTACCTGCAAAAGCCCCCCTGTGTAGACATATATAAGGTCTGAGACTATAGCTGGGCACAAACATCTTGGATGTGATGTCAGCAGCCTCAGTCCACTCAGAGCTATCACTCAAGTGGCACACTACAGTATGCCCCTTTGCTCCTCCTCCACCAGCTTCATTAAAGGTTATGTAAGGAAATAATATGGAGGCTATGAGTTGGGCCAGCACAGACATTAAACACTCCCAGAAATGTAGAGGGTTATGACGTGCAAGGAGGGGGGTTGTGCTGGAATTGACTCTTCCTGAAGTAGTCACAAAGTTCAAAGGCACATATGAAATGAAAACAATAATTTCAGGTAAAAGCACAGAAAAATCAAAGGATTTTAAAGTGACATTAAACCCTCAGATTTTTTAACATAAAACAATACTGTAACGTGTGCCTTACTGTAATCCATGGTTGTTTCCCTTCTCTTTGCTGCTCTTCCTTTTAAATCTGTATCTGTTCTCATGCTCTGCAGAACTTCTGTTTTGCAGCAGACTGCCTTGTCTCAGGAATGGATACATGGTGTCTGTGTGTAGGTTTGCAACCTGAGCACTACAGGAAGAGGCCCTGAGCTGCAAAGGGAAGTTCTCCCCCAGCATGAGAAGACATGAGGATTTAAAAGGAAGAGCAGCAAAGAGAAGGGAAACAACCATGGATTACAGTAAGCCACACATTACAGTATTGGTTTATGTTAAAAAAATCTGAGGGTTTAATGTCACTAAGTGCTTATTTGCAATATTGTTGCTTTCCATGTTTTTTTCCCCAAGTTTTTGACTGGGTCTCCTATATAAATACAGACTTCAGGTTATTATACTAGCTCTGTTTATAAACACATTTAAAAGCTTTTGCATGAATCTATAGCTTTGCTGCAATGCTGCTTTAATTGTACTTATGTTTTTGTACATGTGAGCTTAAAAGGAGAACTATGAGGTGAGTGATTTTCACTCATCCTCATAGTTCTAGCCGACCTGTGACAATGAGACTGTCACAGGTCGGCTCAGTAGATCGGGAAGTGAGCGAACACATACCGGGGTTCGCTCACTTCATGATCCTGTCACGGCTCTCTGCCGTGACAGGGGAGGGGCTGGATTCCCCCCTCCGATCCTCCAGCGCTGAGTGGCGGAACGGACGGGGGAGGGTACAGCTGGCTCTGCCTCTAGATAGGCAGAGCCAGCTGTCACTCACACAGCTGGGCGGATCCAGACATAATTGTCGGCTTTAGGGTGACGGGAAGACGCTAGTTTGTGTCCTCTCGTTACCCTAAGGAGAACTATGGGGAAAAGCCCCAACACCATAGTTCTCCTTTAAATAACATTTTAAAGAAACAAAGAATGACGAAGCTGCCAGCTAACACTGAGTCCCATGTTGCCAACAAGAGTTTCTGGCCATAACACTTAAAGAGGACAACAGGTGTGATATTCTCCATATGTCTAGTTTGTTACTCACAGGGATCAGAGCGGAATGGGTTGGTGTCAGGGACATTACGAGGTAGTGCAAGACTCTCAACAATCTTCTTGTAGTCCTGAATCCTCTCATTCACTTTTCCATCTCCAGCTGTCAATCAAAAGAGTGAGATAAGAGTCAATAACTAATCAATGAACAATAACAGATCAACAATACCAGACATTGTCATCAATGGAGTGTACACTATGTGGTTCAAGATGTCTGTGTAGAAGTTCACAGTACAAAATTCTCTAGACCTCAGTCTCAGGACACAATGAAATCTTTTTGTTTCCAACGTGGTCCTACATTAATCTATGCAAATACTGCCGTCTTACTCTGAACTCTGGTATGCTCCGTTATGCCACCCTCTATATTGTACAAAGAGACAAGGAATTCAGGGGCGATCCTGCACCTCAACTATGAACCTGCAAATCTAAAATTGCACTCGTTGCAAATGATCCTTCTCTAATGAGACATCACTTGCTTTAAGTTAGGTAAATTTGTACCGTTTCTGTAATACTTTGTCTGGCTGCAAAGTTGTATGTTTCACTTTGCAAATTTAAACAATGCAAGAAAGAAAACCGTTCAGGATTGTATGTGTTACATCTGGGCTTAATCAGCTCGTGTGAAGTGCTGCAACCTTAACAGCCCATTATAAACCAGTTTAGCAAAGCAAGACCATGGAAAGAAGAATGATTAGTTGCTGCAGATATCATTTCTTTACTAAATGTTTTCCAGGATGCTCTGCACACTGCCCAGTTATCAGACTTACATGTAAAATGGGAAGTGATGAAAAGGAAAGACGTTCCGAAGAAAGTGAGGGACACGGCCAGAGCGCCTTTGGTCTTGATCTGGGATACGATGCGTGTGGTCACTGTGGAGGACTCAACCTCTGTGGAAACAATGACACAGGAGCAACTGAGTCAGTGGGGAAGGGTGTAATATGCACTAACGCACTCCAAACTGGCTCATATGCTGTGACAATCACATTTATTATACCTGAACAGAACCAGATGAGGTCTCGACGAATAAAGATGGAGAGATAGAGGACACCATGGGCAGAAGAGTGCAGTAGCACATAATGGGGTCCTAGAGTCTCCTGGAGCCGGACTTCCCACTCCCTCCTGCAAACATGAAGAAAGTTAGCACCCCTTTAACCCCTTCATGACTGAGGCCTTTTTTTCATTTTTTTGCACCCATGTTATATTCCACATTTAGGCAGCTGGAAGGAATCCCTCTGAAAACAGCTTGGCTGCAATGACTCGTAAAATATGATAGCTGTAAAGGGTTACTTATGCATGATTTCTATTTCCCCATCACTAGGTTTACTTTGCCAGAGCTGAAATGTCCCCTGAGGTCTGATAGTTTCAAGTCTTTTAACTTCCTGATGCTAATAACACACTCTATCTCCAGTATCCTAATTGTACATAGCAGTGCTGAATAGTAACCATGTAAACAATTACAAGGTTGCGTCAGCTAAAACTGCTGTGTGCACATAAGAGCTGGGAGACAATGTGAGACAATTGAAAGGAGAGCAAGTTTCAGACATCTGGTTTTCAGGTTCACCTACCTGTCTGGGCTTCCTTCCTGAATCCCGATAATGTAAATATCCTGAGCAAAATCATCGTCTGGTGGCAGCAAGAAGTCGTCCAAGCTCTCCGGAAGCTCCTGCACAAGCCAAGAGTAACATAATAAATCAAGAGAAATAATGAAATGACTCTCACTATTCCAACAGCCTAAATGTATATGCTGAATTACAGAACACAGTCACACACCACATGTACTGCTCCCCTCTGTCCCTATACCATGGAACCTGACTAGAAGGGCTTGTTCACACCAAACCAGATCTGCATGAGTTTCTGCACACGCAGTTCAGTGGGTTGTGCCGTGTTTTTGATGCGTTCCAGGCCGTTTTTGTTTTTTTAGTTTAGAATGGACTTTAGTGTGTTCCAGAGCGTTTGCATGCATTCCAGAGCAGGGAAAAATAGGGCTTGTTGCAGTTGTTTTTACATGCTCTGGAACTGAACGCTCCGGTGTGAACTAGAGCCCAAAATACCATTGGAATACATTGGACGCAGTTTTGATCCGGTCTGTAACTGCTCTGCTCCTGGAACGCGCTTGGTGTGAACAAGGCCTTAACCATTCTTGATTATTCTCAGCGCAGCAGGGCAGATGGAAACTAAGTAGAAATATCTGGTACTTTTCTTACGCATTCTGCATTCATTATTATTATAGTTTATAGTTTATATAGTTGTGCAGTATTACGGAATCAAGAGCTTGTACCATACAACGTTGTGCAGTATTATGGAATCAAGAGCTTGTACCATACAACGTTGTGCAGTATTATGGAATCAAGAGCTTGTACCATACAACGTTGTGCAGTATTATGGAATCAAGAGCTTGTACCATACAACGTTGTGCAGTATTATGGAACCAAGAGCTAGTACCATACAACGTTGTGCAGTACTCAGAAGATATACAAGGCTTGATGCAAAACTGGAATGCCTAAATAAATGCAATATTCTTTCTGCACAGTACCTAAAATAATGAACATATTCTTACTGAAAAAGCCCCAATCATTTATTTGTAAAGCTTATAGAAACAAGACCGGGCTTTTACAAATATCACATGGCTGATAAACTAACACATTTGGCCCATGACCTGATGACAGCTGCCACTGATGGCACAGAGACAGATGCAGGTTGAAAATGAGCATAGGAAGCTGAGACAGTTGTAACAAGCAGTGCCAGGTCTGGGATCTTCAATGCCTTTAGGGACTAAACAACTCCCCGAGCCGGAAAAGAAAGTATTTTTATTTCCCTCAGAGAATAATCTGCAGGTAAATTTAGCCCTGCTAGGTAATGAATGGAAAGAAGTCTTCACGTGATGTCAAGGAGGACCGCTACACCTCAGAAGGCTGAACTCTAGGCAAACCGCTAAATACAGGTAAAAAGTATACCAATCAGCCATAACATTACGATCACCCTCCTAATAATAAGTAGGTCCCCCTCTTGCCACCAAAACAGTCCTGACTCATCGAGACATGGATCTACTAGACCTCAGTGGGTATGCAGTGGTATCTGGCACCAAGCGATAAGTTGCAGATCCTTTAATTCCTTTAAGTTGGGAGGTGGGGGCTCCATGGATCGGACTTGCTTTTCCAGCACAACCCACAGATGCTCGATTGGATTGAGATCTGGAGAATGTGGAGGACAAGTCAACACCTCGAACATGTTGTATTCCTCAAACCATTCTTGAACCATTTTTGCAGTGTGGCAGGGTACATTATCCTGCAGAAAGAGTCCACTGCCACCAGGGAATACCATTTACATGACGGGGTGTACATGGTCAGCCACAATCTTTAGGTAGGTGGTACATGTCAAAATAAAATCCACATAAATGGCAGGACCCAAGGTTTCCCAGCAGAACATTGCCCAAAGCATCACACTGCCTCCAACAGCTTGTCTACCAGTGCATCCTGGTGCCATCTCTTCCCCAGGTAAGCGGCACACACCCAGCCATCCACATGATGTAAAAGAAAACATGATTCATCAGACCAGGCCACCTTCTTCTATTGCTCTATGGTCCAGATCTGATGCCCACGTGCCCAATGTAGGCACTTGGCAGTGGACACGGGTCAGCATGGGCACCCTGACTGGTTTCCGGCTACGTGGCCCCATACACAACAAACTGAGATGCTCTGTGTGTTCAGACACCTTTCTATCAGAACCAGCTTTAACTTTTTCAGCAATGTGAGCTACGGTAGCTCTTCCACTGGATCAGACTACACTGCCCAGCCTTCGCTCCCCATGTGCCTTGGCCACCCATGACCAATGATGCTGGTTCATCAGTTTTTTTTTCCTTGGACCATTTTTGTCCTGAGCTGCAGTTTTAGAGTTGCCCTGACCCAGTCATGTAGCCATCACAATTTGTCCCTTGTCAAAGTCACTCAAATTCTAATGCTTGCCCATTTTTTCTGCTTCAAACACCAACTTCAGGAACAACATTTTGCACTTGCTGCCTAATACCCTGTTTTCCTGAAAATAAGACCAACCCCGAAATTAAGACCTAGTGTTGACCATTCCAAGGGCTGGTGGTGGCATAAGGGGGAACTTGAAGAGCCGCGGGAGAAAATCAGCGGTGCCAACGAAGCCAGCGCTAGAGGAAGCGAAGCGGTAGCGCAGGGAGCAGAGCCGCATAAGCCGATGCCTCCTCTATAGCGCCGGCTCCTGTCACAGGCGGAGTGATACCAAATGCACTCCACCTGTGAGGAATTGATAGTGAAACTGCGCTTCGCTCATTCTGACTACCAAATTGCTCTCGGAAATGTACTGATTGCCCTGATCACCCTATTCTTAACTTTGCCATTTTGGATTATTTAATTTGGATTTGCATTAACTTTAGATTGTTATACATAAAAAAAAAAAAATAAGACCTAGTGTGTTTTTTTTGAGCCAAAAAAAATATAAGACAGTGTCTTATTTTCGGGGAAACACGGTATATCCCGCCCACTTCCAGGTACCATTGTAATGAGATATATTACATATGTAATGCGTTTGTAATTCTGTTCAGCCAGTCTTGTGTTTACACTTCTGCCACACTGCACAGCCCAGCTGCCCAATGGACTATAAATGAGCACCATCATCCTCCCTGTGCACAGCCTAAACATCTTCATTGCAGCTCCCGATGCCTGAAATACATTAGACTGGCAGGTCTCTCATTCACAGACAGACTAGGATGGTATCGGAGTAAAACAGGTTTGATTTGGGCATGAAGAATATTTGAAGTGTATCTACATCTAAAAACAGAGTTTAAAATAGTGCAGATTACCAGTCCTTAGATCTGGTAGCTAAGTTAGATTTCTTTTTTTTTCCAGGCTTTCTTGCTTCATTTATACCTCATGATCCTGCCAGTAACACATTTCCTGTCCTACGGTGACTCTCTCACTGTACTGTTTCTATGGAGGATTAGCTTCGTCAGTACCAGGACTACAGAACAGCTCCCTCTGCTCACTCCATAACATGTGGGGTGCTCTGTAGTTTGCAGAGATTAACCTGGCAGGGCTGATAACACTGCTTGAGATAACACTTCAGAATGCACAGGACAGCACTGGATTTCTGGCAGGATCAACTGGAGTAGTTTGACCTCATCACCAAGAAATAACCTTTAAGCTAAAACTGAAACAACATTAGGACCACATTTCTCTTTCATTTTCTGACAAAGCATTTGTATAACAAGTATAAATTTGTCAAAAACGCACATGAATATAAGACTTTTTTTTAGATGCAACCACAAAAATCTTAACTAGAGGTGTAGAAACCTGCAAAGGCAAAACATATGGACTGGATCCAAAGAAAAAAATGCAAGCATTTTCAAAAGCTTTTTATAGCAGTCAAATGTAAACACCCTGAAGAATACCCGCCATATACTGTAGATATATTGGTGAAAGTAATTTCATCAGGTTGAGAAATGTTTCAGAGAAAGCAGCTTATAAATTCACTAGTAACTTGTAATTATATCACTGCAACATGAGGCACAATGAGGGGAATTTATCAAATCTGGAGCAGTTGCTTCAGTTTGTTCAGTGAAGCTTTGAAAATGAAAGATGGAAGCTGATTGGTTGTCATGCACAGCCGCTTCAGATTCTGTCTGCTCCTGATTTGATACATTTCCCTCAATGTGCCTGATGCTACAGCAGAGGAATGCCACTGTCTTTTAGTGAGTTGATAGAGTGGAGAATGTTAATGTTCCCAAAGAGGCTGCCTCTGGGGCACTGCTTATTACCTTCCGGCCTTGCATGTTCCAGGTAGCAATGAAAATTCCTGCTCTCCTATCAGGGAAGTATCGGTCCAGTTCCTCCGCCCCTAGCAATGCTCCACTGGCCAATAGACTGCCTTCCAGATAGCTTCTGTGAAAACACGGTGTAAGATGGAAGCCTGACATTGTCCTTTATACATAATGAAGACTGTTCATAAATGGAGAAAACAACACCATATAAAGTAAAAATCTGATACAAACATTAAAATACCTGTAGATGCTACAGGGAAAATCTCCCTAGCAGAGGCAAACAATAAAACAAAGACACAGAAACTAAAACTAGAAGATGAACAGAGTTTCACTTGAATTATTTTCACTAGTTGCTTAACTACAGAAAATATGTATGTATGTATGTATGTATGTATGTATGTATGTATGTATGTATGTATATATATATATGCTCCATGATGGAGGCTCTCATAGATTAGAGTCAGGACCACACTACACAGAGGGCCCTTGAAGAGGCCGTGTGGTCTCCACATATGTTTGTGAACGTTGTGCAACTAAAACTTCTGCTTTTAACACAAATTGTTTACAACGTAATCTGTTTTTTTGGGGTTTGATGACTAGCTTGTAAGTGTGCTGGGAAATTATGTGCGCTTGGTCTTAAAGCGACATTAAACCCTCAGATTTTTTAACATCAGAAGAGATAAGGATTTAAAAAGGAAGAGCAGCAAAGAGAAGGGAAACAACCATGGATTAAAGTAAGGCACACATTACAGTATTGGTTTATGGTAAAAAATCTGGAGGGTTTAATGTCACTTTAAATACTGAAGGAGTCCTGCTTTAAGGGCCCTTGCACACAGGTGCCCATCCCCATAAATTCTGGTGTGTTCCCAACACCAGGGACCTCCGGCTGCAGTTTAAAGCCTCATATAGAAGTCAACGGCTGTACACGGTTATCGGCAGGTATACACCAGCACTACATAAACCTATACTTGCACACTGAGGTAAAATCTCAGACACAAATAATCTGTGCCTGATGCTTTAACTCTCATGCGTATGCACAGGTTCATGTAGTGCCGGCGTATAGCCACCAACAACCACGTGGAGCCAGTGAAGAGAATTTATCAAAACCTGAGCAGCCAGAATCTGGAACAGTTGCCCATGGCAACCAATCAGCATCTCTCTTCAGTTTGCTCAGTTGAGATTTGAAAATGAGAGATAGAAGCTGATTGGGTGCAGTGCACATCTGCTCCAGTTTTGATAAATTCCCCCCTTTGACTTTTATATAAGGCTTTACGCAGCATTTATAGTGTAGGGGGCCCATATGCAGGAACCCTAACTTAATATCTGACGGTTATGGAAATTACATTAACCAGTTGACATCCGGGGTGTTAAACCCCCTTCCCATCCAGGCCATTTTTCAGTATTCAGCGCTGCGGTACTTTGACTGACGTTTATTCCGTCATGCAGCGCTGTACTGAAATGAATTTTATACCCTTTTTTGGGGACAGGTAGAGCTTTCTTTTGGTGGTATTTATTCACCAGTGGGAGTTTTTATTTTTTACTATATTAAGGAAAAATTACCAAAATTAAAAAAAAACAAAAAAAACAGTTTCCCCTATATTAAATGATAAAACATTTATTATTACCCAATTTTTTGGTAAAATATAAAAGACGGGCTCACGTCGGGTAAAAAGACACCAAATATGTCAAGCCTTAAAATTGCGTGCGCGCGCGAAACCTCAAAAAACGATAATACCGATGACTGACAGGTGAATGCGGAAGTGATGTAATACACATCACTTCTGCATTCACAGCCCGGACGGAAATCAGCAAGGAGCTGATCTCCCGTCCTCCTCCTCCTGACGCCCTCCGAGCCGGTCCCGGGATTCAAGATGGGGCAGCGGATCCCGGGATTCAAGGAGACGAACGAGCACATATAGGCGATCAGCTGGCTATGGAGCCGCTGATCGCCAATATGTGAAACACCCGGTAACGGGTGTGTGCAATGGTCGGGTCTTTTCTGCCCGTGCGTGCCCGCTGGGGGGCGCGCGCGAGCAGGAAAAAAATGGCGACGGCAACCCGCCAATGCAGCAGTGCCGTCCGTCCGTTTTTTTACTACGGGCGGACGGCAAGAGGTTAAAGTACCCTGGCCGTTGTTGACTACATTTGATTCTATAACGTTTTTGTACCTGTTTCGGACATCCTTGGATCGGATGGGGGTGAGAAGGCTGTAGGTGGACCTCAAAGAGTCATTGGAGCAGTGATCACACACCGTACCAAGGAGCCGTGTGTCACTCAGACTGCTGCTGTGCCGGAGAATCTGACGCTGCTTGTAATCCATGTAATCTGGATCTATTTTGTTAGACGTCCTCAGAGCCCTGGAAGTAACATTAAAATCTAGCTGAGGCAAAGGCTGTGAAGGTTTTACATGTGCAAGGCGAGGTTTAGATTTAGAAGAAGGCTTGACTTTCTTCGAAGCGGACGTCATGTCGATTCTGCTGGCGATAAGCGGAGTAGACCCCGGGGCAGAATGATTCTGCCGGCTGGAGGGATGGTCGTGATTCAGGCTGTCTGATCCAAGGGCTGATCGTTCCCCAGTGATCGCAGCTTCCTGAAGAGAACCCGATGATGACCCAGATTCATGCAGGTCTGTTAAGCTCCCCTGGCTAGTCTTAAATCTCCTTTGCCAGCTTTTTTCATCCAGAGAAAAAGCTCTCTCCAGTTTGTGCGGTCTCCGTTTAGGCTTCTCAGGTGGCTTTGGTAGAACATAATCTTTTTGATTTGTAATTTCAGCACTACCCCCTTCCGCCAGCGTCTTGTTTGAGCTTAGTTCCCTCTGTGCTTGCTTTTCAATCCACTCTCTGATCTCCTCATAATTGCTCTGTGCTAAGTTGGAGTTCCCAGCCATTTCCTGGTCATCTGAAATGGGCATCCTCTGATCAGGAAGCTCAGAAACATTCTGCACCTCCATCCTCATAGGCATGATGGTGGCTTTGCACGTAATCTTAACCGCAGACCATTGTCAGAAAGCGACAAAAGCAGCTGATGATGGAGCACTGAAATAGTCAAAATGGACAAAAGATGGCTACTCCCATTCCCATCGTGCTGAGAATAAAAGAGAGAGCTTCTACATAACTCTGGAAGGTAAGATTCATCCTTAGTAGATCAGTTCATCCAGTTGTATCTGATATAATGAAGAGAAAAAAAAGTTATGCCCTGTAAATCAGAAAGAAATTCATTATGTTCTGTGGTGTAGTTCAGCTTCAGATGATGCTTACTATCAGCTCACTTCCACCTCTGGATCCTGTTCCTATAGCTACAACCTGCAGCTAGAGCATGGACCCGGGAGAAATAGTCCGCCAATAAACGAACAATGTATGCATGCTCCACTACATAAAAACAACTGGAAGTATATGTTACCTAAATTTACTTTTAGAATCCCAAAAACGGAATAAAAATATCACAAGCCAATATAAACAGACAAAATCTGGAGCTCCGTTTCTTTGGGGGAAAAAAAGCAAAATTCCTGGATATACAGCGACTGGCAGATTACAGAGGGACCTCTGCTTCAAAAACTAGTGTTATACATGCCTGCTTAGCAGGAGCTAGAACGGTATTTGGCCATCAAACACGGCAAAGTAGAGTTCTATCTGCCATGTTTCTATAGTGGGCTAGTTTATTATACCCTGAAAGGAAAGACAACTAAGCCGTCCATAACAGAGCAGCATCAGCTGTCTGCAGAATTGAGATGTAGAAGGCAGCAGCCATGATGGTAGAGCAGCTTCATCCTCCTGCACGATAGCCCTGGCTGTGATGACTTCCTAACAAACTATAGTGAAAATATATATATATATAACAATAATAATATAAGATAGATATCGATCGACCGACAGACAGACAGACAGACAGACAGACAGACAGTCAATGAAAAGGTTTACTCTCTGTTCTAAAACTATTCCAATTTGTGAATACAATAAACTCTTGGCAATGTTTTTCAAACTTTCTCTTTGGTGGTATGTAGCTGACAGATGGAGGTGAGCCTGGAGCTCTGTAATGCTCAATAATAGGATTATAAGATGGAAATCCTGGGGACAGCACATGTCATTGTTTCCTGCTTCTTCTCCGAGTGTCAGTTTATGTTACGACTCTCATGAATTATGAAGAGTGTTGCGTAGCGACAGAGACATACACTGTCACTACGTCCTGGAGGTGTCCTGACTGTCACTATCTAAACAAGCAAGTTTGCAAAGGATGTCACCAGCACACCATTTAAGTGAGATCAACAAAAGTCAATTTATTAATGGAGTACTGTCATTCCAGGACTGTAGTCTCATACAGCACGAGACTTCACCATACCTATACTAAATGATATATTTACATCCCTGCACAATACAGCAGGGTCATATATACATGGTGGTTTGTGAATAGCACTGTTTTGCTATGCTGGTATTTGGACCATATAGTGACAACCCCCATCCGGAAAATATCAGGCCTGTGTCATAGAATAATGTCATACCTTGGTAAATGGCTGATCTAATAATAAGTGGGGTATGGGGACTGTGCCGTTTGCTTACTAAAAAAATGAAACTTAATTTATGGGGAAATTTATATATATTCTTACATTTCTTTGAAACTGATTAGGTACCGGATGTGACTATAGGCCAGAGTAAAAATAACCTCTTTAGCAAATCGTGCCCTGCGCCTGCCTCACACATGATTAGATTTACGGGAAGTAGAGACACCATTATGTGCTACAATTGTCTACCAAGACAAACAGGCCCTTAGATTAGGAGTGGCAGGATTACATGAATTTATAGTTATATAAAGTTTAAACTGATTTATTATAAAGTGACCTAATCCCAGAATAAAACATACCAGCATTCCTTAACCTTTTTTTCAATCACAGCACCCTTTAAAATTATGCAAAATCCCGAGCTACCCTAGTCTAAAATGTAAAAGATTTGTGGCCCCTACAAAATGTATACCAGATCCTTATTAGATATGGGGTCTGGTATGGATTTCAAGGGGAGACCCCACGCAAAAAAAGTGGGTTCCTTCACACCCTGTGTTGTTTGTTTTCATGGTGCTGGCAGCCAACGCGTGAAATTTCAAGGCACCCATAAGGACCAATATACATAGAGAGTATAACTTCCACCAGGACTCTATTTGCGGAGAATTTCTATGTTCTCCACATGTTTATGTGGGCCCTGCTAACCTAAATGGTACTTTGCACACCATGCACAGAGGCCACGCCATGTACATAACACCTCTCATGCATTTCACCAAACTGGCTTAGTCACAGAGTCCTCTATGACAAAGACAGATCGGTGAAACGCGTGAGATTTATGTACATGGGATGTTGTTCCACAGTATGGAATTGTTATATCAATAAAAAGCCATTTTAAATGATGATAATCAATGGAAGTGTGGCTGGTTTTTGAGAGGAATATAAAAATTGTACTCCAATTTAGCTGCAGAGGGCGACATTGTTATGGCGGCCCGGAGTCCCCTTTTTAACTAGCAATAGATGAAACCAGATAGTGGTCAAATGCAGAGGGAATACAGAGAATGGCACAGCAATGACACACACTTTAGTTAGAGTTTCTGATTCTTCAGGAACTGTTTACGTTTATACTTCTTCTATTAATGTAAGTTTAGTATATTGGGATTTCATATTAGTGCATAAAAGTAATTTCGACAGTGTTTACATTTCAATACTGTGGGTGTGATATTTTATTATATTTAAAGTAGACCCTAAACCCTGTAAACCCTAACTGAATTACATTTGGTTTACTAAGTGAGTTCACACCTAGATGTTTTGTTGCTTAAAGATAGCGTGACAAAATACTCAAGACAAGAAGTCACATTCATTTCTATGGCCCCTGTTCACACCTGAGTGTTTTGTTGCAAGCAGAAAAACACCTGTTACTGGATAAAGTACATGAGCTACTTTTTGGCCGATTACAGTGCTTTTTGGTCCCTTAAATTTCAATGGGTAACTTTGTGCAACAAATGCTCAGGTGTGAACAGGGGCCATAGACATGTACGGGATTCCTTGTCTTGAGTGTTTTGTCACACTTAGCTTTGAGTAACGAAACACCTCGGTGTGAACAAAGCCCTGCTGTGTATTAGAAACAGCTTCCATTTTTTTAAAGACATTTTTTCATTATATTAACATGTTACGACTTATAGGAGATTATAGTGATTGGGATTACATTTACTTTAACCCCTGCATTGACCTATATTGGGTAGCAGAACCCTCTATCTTTATTCCAATGCACATATTTTGGGCTTGTGTCTTATACACCTGCAGGTATGGCCCTCATATGTATACAAATTATAGCAATGTTTCAGCAGCACAGAATGCGATGCCTGCGGTCAGATTCTGATGTCATTATAGCCAGGGATTGGTCAGGGTTCTACCCACAATTGTGTATTTCTTTTAGATGATAGGACGCATACTAAGGGCTATTACTGAGATTGTATGTTGAATCAATAACATTAAACCTAAACATTTTGTTTTGGGCAGTGTGTAAGGGAGACTGCCAGGTTTTTGCTGACTGTCTCCCCAGTGGAAGATTCACCCATCCATTTGTTCCTGCTCACAGGACAGACAATGATTGCAAATCATTTTTTAAGTTGTGACAAGAACAGGAATAAAGGGGAAATTTCCATCAGTTCAGGTGGCTAATAAGAGGGAATCTCACTCATGTTGGGGAGATTTTCTACCACTTAGTGTTGGGTCCCTGGGACATGAAGTGATGGAGAATCTCCCACATAGAACACAAAAAAAAATAAAACCTTACAGGAAATGTAACCATTCCCTAGTCCAGTGTTTTTTTTAAATCCATGGTGCCATTCTTCTTGCCTTCTACGGGGTGCCTTGACATTTTCACACAATGTGATGCATTCAGAAAAGGACACAAGTTCGCTTCAGTCCAGGCCTGTTCCACTTTCCACCCTGTGCCATGCTGCCACAACTCTGGCTCATGATGTGATGTAGAATGCATATATACAATAGGGGCTCTGATGTACAGGAGGGCTCCCAATATGAAGGGGGAACTTGGATATAAAAATGGGGGCTCTGATGTAAAGGAGGGCTCCTGATATAAAACGGGGGCTCTGATGTAAAGGGCTCCTGATATGAAGGGGGAAGTTGGATATAAAACTGGGGCTCTGATGTAAAGGAGGGATCCTGATATGAAGTGGGAACTTGGATATAAAACGGGGGCTCTGATGTAAAGGAGGGATCCTGATATAAAACATGGGCTCTGATGTAAAGGAGGACTCCTGATATAAAACATGGGCTCTGATGTAAAGGAGGGCTCCTGATATAAAACATGGGCTCTGATGTAAAGGAGGACTCCTGATATAAAACATGGGCTCTGATGTAAAGGAGGGCTCCTGATATGAAGGGGGAACTTGAATATAAAACGGGGGCTCTGATGTAAAGGAGGGCTCCTGATATGAAGGGGGAACTTGGATATAAAACGGGGGCTCTGATGTAAAGGGCTCCTGATATGAAGGGGGAACTTGGATACAAAACGGGGGCTCTGATATGAAGGGGGAACTTGGATATAAAACAGGGGCTCTGATGTAAAGGAGGGCTCCTGATTTGAAGGGGGAACTTGGAAATAAAACGGGGGCTCCGATGTAAAGGAGGGCTCCTGATTTGAAGGGGGAACTTGGATATAACACGGGGGCTCTGATGTAAAGGAGGGCTCCTGATATAAGATGGGGGCTCTGATGTAAAGGGGAGGATAAGGGTCCGGTATGGATTTTGTAGGGACCACACATCATTTTTAACATTTCAGACTGGGGTAGCTGAAGATTTGTCATATTTTATAGGGTGTTGTGACTGAAAAAATGTTGAGATAGGCTGCTGTGTTCTATTCAAAACTGAAAGACATACAATAGCTATAACTACCAGTATATATTATACGAATATAATATTCATTACTAAAGACTTTTCTTATTACTATTTTGGGGCACATTTGGAGATACATGTATTAGGGATATCCTGGAACAAGTATGATTGTTATGGTCTCTAGCACTATTACCTCTATCCAAACACCTTTACTCTGCTGTCTCTAGAAACGGGGGTCAGCAGCCCTAGTTGTGTCAGAAGGCAGCCATGCTGTGGTGTGCTGGCACCCTGTGGCAGAGGGGTTCCCTATAACCAACTCAGCCCAAGACGATTACTTACCTGAGCTGTGGCTTCTGAATGCCGGGGGCCCTGCAGGTCATAGAGCCCTAGAGATCGGCCTGACAATGCGGCATCATGGAGACAGAGCGACAACTAAGCTCGCTGCTCTAGTCGACACCCAGCGGCCAGCGGACCGCACTGCAGGCCAATGTGGAGCGCTCTGCAGGACTACACGTCTCACGATTATCCAGTCCGCACAGCGACACCCAGCGGCAGGAGGAAAGTATTGCAGAACCTTTCGTTTACTATAATCACCATCTCTCTGCGCGCATAGCGACACCTGGTGGCCATAGAGCCCGCAATACTGCAGCATTATGCTTATCCTTATATTGCCAACATCCTCCTTCCAGCATAGGATTCAGCTTTACCTCCCATTGACTCTAAGATTGTACATGAACCGCAGGGCAGGGGGGATGGCCATTAGTTTGTTAGCATAAGGAGCACATTAATTGGTGCAACCTGGATTTTCAAGGGACAGTAGATGCAGTGGCAGAGCTAAGGAACAAAGGGCCCTGGTGCAAGTTTTTTTTTTTTTGGACCCCCCCCCCCCCCCCCCCACAA